AATCTTGTAAGCTTCTTTCGTGTTTAATAAACGGTTGTGTTGTTTGTAAACGAAGCATCTATCTCTGACTCAACTGCTTCCACATGTCGTTGATTGTTACCGCTCGGCAATCCAAACGGCAAGGGAGACGATGACGATACATATCACATATAATCGTTCGTCGAAAGTTTTTTTTTAATTTCTCCCCCCTCGGCCCCCACAAATGTAACCGCACGTATCGTATTTTGCTGGTAGGAACTACAGTACCTACATATTTGATGAAATAATGTTATGTACAATAGTTAAAAATGTTCTAATGAATATAAAATTCTAGCAATGTGTTGCATGTTTCCCAGATGTTTTTAGGTTTTCTTCAAAATGTAACTTGTATACTATTATTAATAAATAAATAAAACTATCTGTAGTTCAATCTGTTTCTATATCTTTTAAACAAATAACTTTTATACTAACAACAAGCAGTTATCTATTGTGACATCGTCAAAATACTGGGCCGCAATTTTTAACCGTATTATTAATTTTTAATAATAATATATTTTAATTCATTTGTGCATATTTAATTTTGTTATTGATATTATTATTTTGTTATCATCATGAATTAGTGCAATCTGAAAGTAATTAAAATAATAAGTCTCCATTGTTTGAAAACATGTTTCAATCATACATTACAACATTTTTCATTAGTATCTTTTCACTCGGTGCAAGTATGAAAACTATGCTTTGTTGTTAATACTGTAGAATACAGTGCAATGTTTATCTGCAAAAAGATAATACATGAGTTAATATATAATACTTAAATTACTAAAAGTATATTAAATCATAAATTTAGAAAAGTTGAAAAAATAACGTCTTTAAGTTATTTTTTCAATTATGGAATAAGCAACACAACACCAGAAAAAAGTGCAAAAGAGAAGAGCTTCACGAAAAAATGTCTTGTGAGAAATTGACCCATATTCAAATTGTAGTCACGTGATGTAAACAGTATTAAACACAGTTTACTTCACGTGTCACGGTGTGGTTCTGAAAATTAAATTTTCTTAGTGTGAAATTCTCATGATTGTAGAACTGTTTGAGGTGTAGCTTACGTTTTCTCGTATTGGCATGTGCTTTACATTTAATTTAGCTGCTTCTTAATTTTATATTAAGTTATTTCCTACTGAACAATCTTACAAATTTGCTGAAATTATTCTGATAAAACAAAAGCTGGTTAATACGAAAACCAAATCACTTACTATTCTTATAATAATCGAATACTTTTACAACACTGGACTGCACATTTCCAACAATATAATCTCTTCTTACACGGAAGTTAATACAAACAGGAGATTTATGTGAAACCTGTAATATTGCATTTTTTCAATTTAATATTTTCACATAGAATTATACTATTTATAAAAGTATAACGATATCAACGCATATTTTAATTCAAAAACACAAAAGCTAAAATATTTCTTCATAGATCCATACATACATGCTCTAAATAGAATATTACATTTCTGTCTTCTATTTCGTATCTATCAACGGGATTTTTGTAATCATTGACTATCTGAAATAAATGTAAATGTACATTATTACTTTAAAAAATTCAACACTTTTACTATCAAATTATAAGTCAATTTGTAGCACTATGTGCTACGTGTAATTATGATGCATATATACGTATTAATTTATTAATAAAATTTGTATTATTACACATATAGTTTGTTGTAGTATCACATTGACAATACTTTCTACATTGTACAATCATTGTATAGTTCAATGCACGGTTAAGTAATTCTCAAATACGAAAGAAGCCTGTTCTTAGTTCTAATCTAAAATATATTATCTGTATTTCATAATTTAGTAAATGAATGTCAGAATACTGCTCTTTACAAAAATTCTTAAAATTGGCACGGCGTATATATATTCAATAGAGAGGTTGCGGTCGAAGTTTTCTTCTGTAAAACGTCAACGTCAGACGTCGAGCGCTGCTTACAAGATAGCGGCGCTCGACGTTCGACGTTGACGTTTGAGAGATAAAAATTTCGGCTGCAACCTCGCTAATATTTACAGCATATACGATAATTATTAGTGAATAAACTGCCATATAGCTGATGGGTGATTGTACGATCTCGGATATGATTATAATTCCTAGTCAGATAAAATTTTCTAGATGGATTAAACCAAGTGAGTTTGAATAAGTTTTCGTGTATAGTAGTTCCGATTTTGGGCTACACTAAATCTCCAATGCACATGGAAAATGACACACGAACCGCAGCAAGCATCACTTATCTTTCATTTTCCTTTGTTCTACGTTTCTAATAATTTATGACATATACTTATGGCAGTCGTAAATTAAGATAAAAATTTGGAAATTACATTTAGTTACGATACAAAGATGGCCAGAATATAATAGAACATTTTAGTAAACCTAAAGAATGTGTACTTTACTCACTCTATCTAAATCTTCTTTAACTGGAGTGAATCCGCTGAATATTCCAGCATGAATAATAGTCATGGTTGAATCTTCACTGGAGAGATATCTACAAAAAATAAAGTTTCAATTGAAGTTATGGTTATTAAATAATTCTGAATGTTTAAAATTAATAACGCAGACTTTTTATAATATGTAGCATTAATAATATATTTCTTATTGTAAGTTTTCTCTGTGTCTCTTAGAAACAAGTAAAATGTCGCCGAATTTCATAAGTATGCTAATCTTGGTACCGAAAAAATTTCCTAAATAATCTTTAGTTAAAAATTCCTATAATTAGACACTTATGGCTGTACGAAGTGTAAGAATTGTAAAGTAAATACAAAAAAAAACGATGATTAATTTTTTCGGTACACTTTTGGTTTGTGTAGGTGTCAGTAAATGTACTGTAAAACGAAATTTTTTCGCAATTTATGCCTTGTAAGTAATTCCAGATGTTGCCTTGTCAGTTATGCTACAATTTACAGAAACATGTTAATGCATTAGATAAGTTAGTGCTGGTTTTATTACAGTAGCGAATTTTAGTTTTAGTTTTACACTTTTCGTATATTTCTACACACAACTTTTCTATCTGCAAGCTTCTATTATCGTTTAATATTGATAAGTTTTGGTAAAAGTGATAGCCTAGAGCAGTGGTTCTCAAACTTTTTTCATTAGCGTACCCCATGACATGTCATATCTCTAGATTGTACCCTCATTTAAGAAATTTAGTGAGTACCCGTATTGTTAATTTTACATATTGTAACTTTAAATTAAAGAAAAAAACCTAAATGAAAAAATGTATAATAAAGTTGTGATTGTTGCAAGGAGATATTTTACGTAATAATTTTTTAATACTGTTAGTTTGTATATGCTGTTAGTTTGTACATAATATATTATTTTTTCTGCCATAATTACTAACTTTTTTCTGTACCCCTGAGCAACCTATCGCGTACCCCTAGGGATACGCGTACCACANTCACTTTGTCATGGATTCCAACAAATGATGATGTTTAAACACTAGCACTTGTGAGAACCCACGTCACTGTTGTGGCTATAATTTGGCTATGGGAGGGTGACAGACACGTGGCGACTGATATGATGTCATTAGGAATTTGGCTACGAGGCGCTTCTTCCTCCATGTAAAACTCGTAAGCTATATTGTGTTTCAGAATAAACTTGTACCCGTTGTTAGAGGTGTGGACAGATTATACGCGAACGTGTTAATTATACTACGATAAATGCCGAAAGAGTTATGGGCCCAGGAAGAAAATTTTTACGTCGATGCAACCGGATTGAACCACGGTATGCCCAAATTTGCTATCTTAGAAACCGAAACGTTATAACAAATAGAATGTCAGAAATGGGACATGAACAGCTACCGAAGTTTACAGGTAGCAATTTCACAAGCTAAAGATACCGTATAATCGCCATACTAGAATATCTAATGCCTTAATTGTCTAAAATTAAAATTTTTTCAGTTATAATACTTTAATTTGCACATTTACATTAGGGCGATAAAAGCCGAATGATTGATGGTTTACGCATTAATTCTTCGATTGCTGAATTTCTCATATAAAAAGTATTCGTATTTGAACAATTGGCAACTGGGCTAAACAGAAAAATTTATTATTCTAAAAAAGTCTTAAATTAAATGTTTTCAACTCTGAACCAATTAATAAAAATACCATTCAGGAAGTGATTATATTTTCAACGGATCTACTTCCTTTACAAAAGTGACACGTGTCCAAGTAACTGTTCATCCAGAAACCGAACGCCCAACTCATCTATTGGAATAGCGAACAACATGACTAAAAATGGACATTAAAATTGAGGGGGAGGAGCCCAACTGAAACGGAAAACGAATGACGACAGCTGGGTATTCATCAATTCTTCTTGTTGTCGCACTCCGACTCCCATCTCAGTTATTACAATTCGTAGTCAGCGCGAATCTAACTATTATCCGACTGACTCAGCGTTAATTTAGCTGTTACCCAACCGATCCATGGCCAATCTACCTGTTATCCAGATGATCAAGGGCCGGAACACCATTTCTCGACTCAGTAAATTTAAGTACTTATCGACACGAGCCCGATTTTGTAAACTCTCTCTATCTCACGACTGAATAGACTCTATCATTATCATTCGCGGCTGTAAACTGTAATATTGTAAAGTTTTTTGGTTAAATAAACGGGTATTATATTTGTTAAATGCGTAGTGTAGTGCATTATTTCCAGCCCGCACTCTCCGGACCTCCTCTGTCTCGAATCCAACCACTTACAGAACCACAGTATATAAATCTATTACACAAATTTTACGATAGTTGCGGTTCGTTGAGTACTTACAAAACAACATATATCGATATGCTGGCATACATTGTTGAACAAGTGAATTTGTCTAATTTACACTGAATATATGACATCCTTGTTAGTTATGGGTTCTATCATTATCAACAGACTGGCTGCATGAAACTCTCCAGGTTTTCTTCCATATCTAAGAAGTGAACAAAAAACTTTTCTGTAAAGCCTCTCAAATATGCATCTTCCTATAGCAGATATGCCTTGTCTTGCATTGCGTTAACCTATTGAACCTAACTAGTATATGGCCACTTTCTGTATATTCTAATACATTTGCATATACAAACTTCTCACCAGTAATGAAAGAATGTCCGAAAATGTAATGTATACTCGAAAGTTTGAGAAACGTTGATGTAAAACGAAATATGCATCTTCCTATAGCAGATATGCCTTGTGTTGCATTGCGTTAACGTATTGAACCTAACTAGTATATGGCCACTTTCTGTACATTCTAATACATTTGCATATACAAATTTCTCACCAGTAATGAAAGAATGCCCGAAAATGTAATGTATACTCGAAAGTTTGAGAAACGTTGATGTAAAACGAAGTGACAATTTAAAAAAATTTAAAAATAGAAATGAATCGTTTTTGACATCAGAAA